CATAGATCCTCACCCCCTAACAAAACACGTCAACCATTAAATTAGTGTAGTTTAAAGCGTATATCTAATACTGAGGATTGGTGTATTTTCGAAACTTTAAGACGGAAGATTAGATGTCTTTTTATGAATATTTATCAGTCTATCTATACACACGCACACACACGCATATATATATATATATATATATATATATATATATATATATATATATATATATATGAAAATATTTAGAAAATAGAAAGAACTCGTTAGGTAAATAATCCATAGTTCTTTAGTATTTTTGTTATTTTTTTTTTAAATAGTGCTCGATACAAAAGTAGATCATAAATATAATTATTTATTTAAAAATATGATTCCAACACGCTACATAAGTGTAACATGAGAACTCTTATGTAGCGTTTTGGAATCATATTTTTAAATAAATAATTGTAATGCACATTTTTCATTTTCTATCTACCCTGAATTTCTCGCTTTCACCTGGTTGTGTCACCCGCCTTGCCATCCGTTAGTGTGGAAAATCGTGTCGTTGCGTTTATCAAAGCAGGTGTTACAGGTTGAGAGATATAAGCCGGGCGCGTTAATTGTGTTTACTGTGCATGTCTTACACAAGAGACGCGGTAGATGGATTGATATCATGAAGACTGTAGGCAGAAGACGTAACTGCACAGCTGTCAATGTCTGCAAGGGAGAGAAAGACACAGAGACAGAGAAAGATAGAGAATGAGAACGTTAGGGAGAGAAAGAGAGATAGAATTAGAGAAAAACTGAGGGCGATAGGGAGAGAAGTGACCAAAAAGAGAGAGAAAAAAAGAAATACAACGAATGAGAGCCAATATATATATATATATATATATATATATATATATATATATATATATACAGAGAGAGAGAGAGAGAAAGAATAAGAAAGAAAGAAAGAAAGAAAGAAAGAAAGAAAGAAAGAAAGAAAATGATAGAGAAATATATATAGAGAAAAACAGAGAGAAAAAGAAGGAAAGAGTAAGATAGAAAGTGATGGACAAAAATAAAGAGAGAGGTATAGAAATAGAGGAAGAAAGAGAACGTTATGTTGCGAGAAAGAGAGAGAGAGAGCGATGAAAATGTGTAGAGAGAAAGTGAGATAAAGAAAGGTAAAAAAGGAGAGATAGAGAGAATGAAAGAGCTAGATATAGATATATATCGCGTGGGGTGAGAATAAGAGAGAAAAACAGTGATAGAAAAAGAAATATATACAGAAAAAGACAGAGATAGCAAAAAGGATAAAGAAAAATTGAGATGTCATAGGTTTGTGGAGATTGTGTCCACTCGTCAAGGGATTTAATTGTAAAACTGAATTTATTTTCAGAAATCATTTTTCTATTTTGACAATAAATTCAATTTTACTAAAACAAAAAGTCCCCTGACGAGTGGATGTAATCTCTGAGTTGTAATCTCTTACAATTTAATTTTTTTGCCTTTAAATAAACTGCAAAGGGTTGATAAACCGTAAAAACGTATCAATCAAAACAATTTGCTTCTCTGTCACTCGAGGTATTTAGGTTAGAATTTAAATATCTCTTTCTCTCACTATATATATAAAATAAATATTCATGTCTAGCTATATGTCTCAGTCTGTTCACATCTATCTATATGAGGACCTGTAACTATCAGTCTATCTTACTATCTAGCTAGGCTAACCGATCGATTAGGCTAGCTAGCTACTACAGTTAACCTCGTTCTCTCTTTCTCGCACCATATATACCAGTAGATAACATCAAAATAATCTAAACCACCCAATGCAAGGAAAGACTCAAAACTCTAGAAGCTGGGTGCAGTCTATTTCTATTTTTTACTCAGATTAGGTCATTTGCAGGGGTGTGCAGTAATATGAATTTATTTACGGTGTGTATGATGAAATTTCTTTGGCATTCAAAACTACTGTGTCATCCGTGATTGCATCAGATTTTCATAACGCTCGACTGTCAATTAGTTGTCCTACGGCCATTGTCTTCGATGGTAATTACTCCTAGAGCGTACGAAAATTGTAACGCTACACGAACACAATGGCAAGCATTGCCAGTAAGGAAATCAAAGTACTATCGAGTGGTTCGGAAACTCTCCTGATTTAAATCCAATCGAGAATCAGTGGTCAATCTGCAAGGAAAGACTTCGTGGAATGGACATACGATGGACTAACATGTCCACTGGGTCAGGTTTCATTGGAAAAATACGAATAAAACGTAAATAATAACGACATTATTCGTCTTGTTTCAATTAATTTTCACAAATTTATACAAAATAATCAGCCGACATTAAATAAAATATTATTCACCACAGAAGTTTTCATGAAGTGCATAGAATATACCATCATTTCTTGAAAATAAAATGTAACCATAAATAATACGCACCCCAACTAATGATCCAAAACTTAAAAAATATACCTATCCCTATGTATAATAATAATAAAAAAAAAATTACGAAGACATTTTGTCAACCTTGACATTAAGAATAAAATCGAAACAAAGCGGCTAAAATAATGTTTTACTGCTGGTGGCAACAGAAAAAAAACAAATTTGGAACTTATTGTAAAATGGCTTCAGGAATCTTGGGATTCCGTCAATGAGGATGTTATAAAGAAATGGTTTCAAGAAGTATTGTCTCACGACAGCCATGGAATGGCTCTGAAGATCACATGGCAAGAGAAGCCAAAGATAATTTTGAACAGGACGAAGAAAATATTGTGAATGATAATTTTTTAATGATAATTTAGATAATGATTCTATAATAGAAAGTGATGATGATGATGATGATGATGATGATGATTAAAATTTCAATAAATTTTTAATTTGATATTCTCTTTTCTTTGAAATTGTTTTTTTTTTATAGATTTTTTTTATTTTATCGCCAAATAAAAAATGCGGTTACTGATAAACATAAATCTATTGACAAAAAATGTTGCAATTATTATTGTTGGATTTCTTAATTTAGAACAAGTACGTATTTATTACTATAAATCATTTTTGTTTAAACCTATTTATAATACGCACCCATACTATCACCTGTAATTTACAGTAAAAAAAAATGCGTATTATTTTCGAGAAATTACGGTAATTAATGTGTGCATATATTTTATCATTATCATAATTATAATTAAAAAATTTAAATAAATCGCATTCTTTCACGATATATACATACATACATACATACACACACACATATATATATATCTACTGAGAGAGAGAGAGAGAGAGAGAGAGAGAGAGAGAGAGAGAGAGAGAGTAATCTATCGTTGGATCTCTATCTATTCATAACTCACTCTTTATCTGTCTGTCTGACTGTCTCTCTCTCTCTCTCTCACTCTCTCTCTCTCTCTCTCTTTATCTATCTGTTTGTGCGCGTGTGTGTGTGAAATACAGAAAAGTATATAAAAATCTCCTACATGAAAACATTCTAATAATAATTGCTTAGCAATGAAAAAATGTGTAAAACCTGTAAAGGCATTCTAATCATAGTAATGACTTAACAAATATAAGAAAATATATTTGAACCTCACATGTGAAAATATTCTAATAATAGCAAGAACTTAGCAAAATATGACGTCATTTATACGGCATTGCTTAACTTGACAAACGATTGGGATTAAATGAAATGCAAAAACAAATATCCGGATTAAATTAGGACATTTTATAGAACGAATGCGGTACAGTGTTTTTCTTTTGAAGTGGTGGTCCCAGGAGTCCATAATTAGTTCAAATCTTTTTTTCTTCATCACAAGTTAATCCGAATATATATATATATATATATATATATATATATATATATATATATATATATATATATATATATATATATATATCAAATATGTGGTGCAGTTTAATTTATATTACAATGAATCATTCATACATACAAAAAGTTATTTAGTAAAGTTAATGTCGAAAGTACTAGCATATTAAAGGAAGACCTAATACAGTTTGTAATTTTAAAAAACAAGAATCCTAATATTCATTGAGTGATTCGTGAGTCAATGCATTTTTAAAATTTAGTTATGAAAGTGAATTCGTCATTTTATCTCATTAACTTTATTAATTTATTTTTGTGTGAATGATTCATTGTATTATGCATATTTAATATATTTTCTTTTGATACGTTATTTTTTGTGGATACACTTATTTGAGCAAATGCTCTGTTATTTATGTAAACTGTATTAATGACATTTATCAGCTTGAATATTCGTGAAATTTTGTAGAATATTTATCGGATTTAATCTATTTCCTATGATATTATGCATATCTATCTATCTATCTATCTATCTCCCCTCTCTGTATATATATATATATATATATATATATATATATATATATAATGAAAAGTTTGCTAATCTGTAATTCAATTTAAATAGAAAACAGACAAACTTTATCAGTTTTGTATTTAAATTGAATATATATATATATACGTTAATTTTATAGATATAATTTATTTCAGTAAATGGTCTGTTTTTGATTAAACAGTATTAATTACACGACCTGAATCTTTTAGAATTTTCGTAGAAAATATGCGTTCTCCGACAGGAATCGAACCTGTAACCCGTCTTATGGGAACCGACATATACCCTGTCGTGCTGTTACCATTCATCCACAGAGAAGCGTATGGTTAGCAATATCCGAATTACTCTTTATAAACACAAACACCGACGATTTTTCTCGATCGGTGTTTGTATTTATAAAGAGTAATTCGGATATATATATATTAACGTAGACAATGACCACGTATTATGAAATGGATTAAGTCCGACAATTATTTAATATATCTTACGTTATTTTTATAGATATATCTACAAAATTATATCTATAATAATAACAAATAAACAGAAAATATATTAAATAATTGTCGGACTTAATCCAATTCATTATATGTATATGTATATGTAGATAAAGACAGGGAAAAAAGAGAGAGAAAAGAGGAAAGGGTGAGGAGGAAGAGACAGAGTGAGGCAGTAGGATGAAAGCTAATTGAAGAAGAAATTAAATGAGAAAGGAAGGAAAGAGAAAGGCAATGTAAAAGGAGAAGAAACAGAAAGGGGAAGTTAAGAGAGATTTCGACGGGAGATTAGACAGAAATAGAAAGAGAGATAAAAGAAGCGGGGCTGGTGTGGAAATAGAGAGAAAGTAATGAAAGAGAAAAGAAGGAAAGAGACAAGAAGAGAAAGACAACCTGGAAGGTAAGATTGGGAAAGAGAGAGGAAAAGAATGCGAATAGTGATAGATAGAGAAAGTGTAGAAAGAGAGTAAACGATCAGAAAAATGGAAAGACAAAAGAGATAGAGAGTGGGGGAAGACAAAGGAGATGGAGAAAGAAAGAAAGAAAGAAAGAAAGAAAGAAAGAAAGAAAGGCAAAGACAATAGAGAGAATGAAAGACACAGCAGATAAAGAGAGAAGGAAAGACAAAGAGAGAAAAGAATGACGAAGAAGATAAGTAGAGAACGAGAGAGAATAAAAAGAAAAGGAAGAGGAAGAATGTGAAGGGTATGAGGAGGCGAACAATGAGGAAGGGTGAGAGAGAGGAAAGGGAAAGAGACTGAATGATGAAAGAAAGAATGACTAACAAGGAATTAGAATGAGGCGAAATCAAAATGCGTGTAGGTGATGCTATGGAGGCGGACTTTGTTTGCCTGCCCAGGGATGTGAATAAAGTCCCCAAACCACTTTTATCTATACAACTGTAGCAATCCAGTGAACGCGACGACCCAGCCAAGGAATGTCGTTATTGAGTGAGAAGCGCTGATAGATTAAACCATGACACGAACGACCAATCCACGAGTTATCCGAGTGGACTTAAGGTTTAGCGAGGCTTAAAGGAAGTGAAAGGCGCTCTATTGTCTACTTTCTGTTCCACTCAACTATTTACCCTAATTCATAGGTGTACCCCTGGGTGCAATCATCATGCTGGGACAGTAAAGGATTGCCCTAGACAAGAAGGCATAAATTCCGGGTAGATTTTTTTCTTCGTTGATATTCGTCGTTTTAGACAATTTTCTTTTTCTTCTTTCTACAACCCGCCATATATATATATATATATATATATATATATATATATATATATATAGATATATATATAGATAGATAGATAGATAGATAGATAATATTAGTGGTAAATATACACAAACATATGCAAAATATATAAATATATATACATAAGTGCATACACATACATGTATATTTTTTGAATAGGAAATTTTTGAATAAAAAATGTATATTTTTTTAATAAAAAATTCCAAGAGAATAGAATCCAGGTAGAACTCAATGTCCTTCAAATTTAGTTTCCATCGCCCCATCTCTCTCTCCCACCTCTTCTTTCCTTTCCTCTCCCTCCCTCTTATTCTGATCTTTAACATTAGATCGTCTATGGTGTGTGTATGTCACCACGAAATGTACAGTGTAACCCGGATATAAGAGAGTTGTCGGGACCGGAGAAGAAGTATCTTATATCCGGGTTTCTCTTATATCCGGGTTTGGTCTATTTTGTTTAGGTAAGTATGGGCTCTAATTTGGAACCAGAGAAAATCTATCTTATATCCGGGTTTCTCTTATATCCGGGTCTCTTATATCCGGGTTACACTGTATCGTTAATGTATTAGACATCCGACAACATTCATATTTCACCCTTCCACTCACCTCTATAAAACTCCTCTCTGTTAAGTTTTACTCTCCCACCTTCTCTCGTCTGTTACCCCTCTCTTTAGCTCTAACATTCGTCCCACACTCTCATACTTACACTCTCTCTAAATTCTATTTTTATTTCCGGGGTTGTTTTTTTCTGTTTTCTTTTTGAATTTGTAGGTCTGATGAATTGGATCGTATTTACGATTCCAATGGTATAAATTATGACCATGGAATATTAGTGTTTAAGCCTTTTTATATATATATATATATATATATATATATATATATATATATATAATGTAATGGATTAAGCCCTAAAATTGTTATATATATTTTCTGTTTATACATTATATTTATAGATATCATTTATTTAAGTCACTGCTCCGTTTATTAATTAACAGACAGTGACATCTATCGAAGAGATGAAATTTAAATTTTTATTATTGCAATATTACAAAATTTTAACACATCGGCAGATAGTTATTAACGTCAACTGAGCACGAATATTCATTAATTAAAAAATTAATAATTAATTTATAATATTATCCATACCACATGTACAAGAATGTCGTTTTTGATAAAAGTTAAAAAAATAACCATAAATGCGTAAAAAATGCGTATATTGTCGAAAATTCCTTTTCCCACAATATAGCTATTTGTGCTATGTTATAATGCTTATTACCTAAACACTAATAATATTGAATAATTTTTTTTAAAACATTAAAATATATTTAATCACTTCTCCCTAATACTTGTCGCGATCTGTAAAGAGTATTAATTACATTTTCCGGTCTGTATGTTGGAGAAATTTTGTAGAAAATATGCGCTCTTCGACAGAAACTGACATATAACCTTACGTGTCGCTACCATTTAGCCACAGAGAAGCGTCTTGGTTAGCAAAGTCTGAATTACTGTTTATAAACACTCACCTTCGACGTTTTTTTCTCCATCGATCATATCTGATCACGAAACGTACCTTAACGTAAACAATGACAACAAATGGATTAAGTCTGACAATTATTTAATATAATATTTAATATAAAGTTATTCGGGCTTTACTAACCAGATAGAAGTAAATCCCATTTAACAATTTTAATGGTTGATAAAGAATTCATACAATGCAAATTTCAGATTTTAAAACTTTTAAATTGCATTAAAACTCTAGAGTATTCAAATGGAATATTCTAGAATCTTCCAATAATGTTATCAGTAGTTATTTTTAGCCTAAAAATACAAACAGAACATTCTGTAATTAATAGTTCTGCAAGAAGGTTATCATCATGGAAAGAGGTAAAGAATTGACTGATTGTTAAGCTTTGGTAAGAAGGTAAAAGTTCCAGGTAAATCTCAGACAACCTGTATATTCTATTTAGTCCTATTAGTTCATTCAATGTAAGGCATAAGAAACTCAAAACTTGAAAAACAAAGAATAGGTGCTCCACGGAAGATTTCTTCAAGATCTTCGATGAAATTAATGCGTCAAATTAAACAAAATCTAATGGTTACTTATCAAGAGCTGCAGGATGATTTGCTTTCATCAGAAATCTGTGTCACTAAACGGACAATAAGCAAAGAAATTCCTAGGAATAATCTAAAATCTCGCTCCCCTCGGAAAACTCCACTGCAATTGAAAAGACAAAGATATGCCAGTTTGAAATTCGTTCGTAAACAGAGGGGGAAGGAAAAAATCATATTGGGAGAGTATTATGGACAGACGAAAGCAAAATTGAGTTGTTTTGACGTAATTCTAGAAATAATCTATGGAGGAAAGATGGCGATGCCTTAACCCCCCCCCAAAAAAAAACCCCAAAAAAAAACAAAACAAAAAAAAAACAAGAAAACAAAAAGAAAACCTACAGTTCCAACAGTGAAATTTGGTGGTGGCATGGTTTGGAGACGTTTTTCTGCAAAAGGTATTGGGAACGTATCAGTAATCGATAACAGAATGAATGCCACAGCATATCAAAATATTTTGGAAGCAAATTTAATGATTTTGGTTAAAAATCTTGGATTTTTTAACAAGATAATGATCCTAAGCACACTGCAAAATCTACGAATGACTTTCTGAAAATAAAGTAAATATCCTGAAATGGACAAGTCAGTGCCCAGATTTAAACCCAGTCCAGAATCTGTGGCCTTATTTGAAAATTCAAATCCTATCGAGAGCTCCAACAAATATCCATATCTGAAGAATACAACAAAATACCAACTAAAATTTGCAAATCATTAATTGAAAACTACAAGAAGAGGTTTGTTGTGAATAATGGCAATTCTACTAAGTATTAAATATTATGTATTCTTTTTTGTGTTGTACAAATATTTTTTCGCCCATTAAAATTGATAAATTGGATTTATTTCTATTAAATCAATTTTTTTTTTGTTTTCTATGCATATTTAGTTATTATGCATCTGTGTACAGTTAATCACAAGAAAAGTATGTTTATTCGTTAGTTGGAAATACAAGAAATTAAAAATTTGCATGTGTACGAATATTTGTTTCCCTCCATTGTATATGTATGAAAAATATAGAAGTTCATGACCTCAAACAGGTTTTCTTCGTGTCTTAACATCAATAACCTTTGATAGACATGAACAAACTAAGCTAGACAGACATGTAAACCTTGAGATAGATAATACATAGATAGATAATAAAAACACTGAGATAGATTGTTAGATAGATATAAAGAGTCCTAGCTAGCACACGATGTAGCGAGCTAGCTAGATAAACAGACTGTGATAGAAAATGAACAAATTGTGAGAGATAGACAGATAGATATGAAAAGACTGTGATAGATAGATAATGAACATGCTGAGATAGATAGATAGATAGATAGATAGATAGATAGATAGATATGAACATTCTGACCTATCTATCTATCTATCTATCTATCTATCTAGAGATATATTAACAAATTCTGGTAGATAATGAACAGACTGAGATAGATAGATAGATAGATAGATAGATAGATAGATAGATAGATAGATAGATAAAAAAACATGCTGACATAGATAGATAGATAGATAGATAGATATGATAGATAGATATGAATCTTTCTATCTATCTATCTATCTATCTATCTATCTATCTATCTATCTAGAGATATATTAACAAATTCTGGTAGATAATGAACAGACTGAGAGATAGATAGATAGATAGATAGATAGATAGATAGATAGATAGATAGATAAATAACATGATGAATAGATAGATGAATAGATAGATAGATAGATAGATAGATAGATAGAATATGAACATTCTGATTTATCTATCTATCTATCTATCTATCTATCTATCGAGAGATATATTAACAAATTCTGGTAGATAATGAACAGACTGAGATAGATAGATAGATTGATAGATAGATAGATAGATAGATAGATAGATAGATAGATAGATAGATAGATAAAAAAAGAACATGTTGACATAGATAGGTAGATAGATAGATAGATATGAACATTCTGACCTATCTATATATCTATCTATCTATCTATCTATCTATCTATCTATCTATCTATCTAGAGATATATTAACAAATTCTGGTAGATAATGAACAGACTGAGATAGATAGATAGATAGATAGATAGATAGATAAAGAATATGCTGAGATAGATAGATAGATAGATAGATAGATAGATAGATAGATAGATAGATAGATAGATAGATAATGAACGGATTGCGATAGCTACATAGAAAGATACTGTGATGGATAATGAAAATCCTAAAATAGATAAATAGTTATTGTGATGGATAATAAAAATAATGCGATAGATTGATAGATACGAACAGTCCGAGCTAGCTCGCAATAGAAAATGTAATAGAAAACGAACAGATTCTTATAGGTAGGTAGGTAGGTATGAAAAAATGTGATAGATAGATAGATAGATAGATAGATAGATATGAAGAGACAGTGATAGATAAGGAACAGACTGTGAGAGATAGATAGATAGATAGATAGATAGATAGATAGATAGATAGATAGATAGATAGATAGATAGGTAGGTAGGTATGAGCATTCTGATCTATCTAGCTAGATAAAGATATATTAACAGACACTGACAGATAATAAACATACTGTGATAGATAGATAGATAGATAGATAGATAGATAGATATCAACAACTTGAGCTAGTCAGCTAGATAGCTAGACATGAACAGACAGTGATAGATAATGAACAGCGATAGATAGATGTAAAATATAGAAATAGAAAGCCTTCGCTAGGATTTCTTCGTGTTGGTTGTGCATCGAAAATATAAAAGCGACGCCATCATAATCAAATCCTCCCGCCTCTTTTCAAATCAATAGTTCTTTCGAATGAATCATCGAACGCTTCTTTTTACGTGCAATTAAGCACTAAGGGCGGTGCTAGTAATTTTCTTTTTCTATTTGATGAACATTCCACGAGCAATGTCGTCTCCAGCGGCTATGGTGTCGAGGGGAACGGGAACTTTGTCAATCAGTAGTGCTACGTCAAGAGGCGACGTGTTCTGCTCGAAATAAATGACTAGGTAACTAAGTCGTTTCATAACCAACAGTATAGATGGTTTTATTTTTTCCTGATTGTCATTAAAATAATTTAGAAATAATAAAAATTCCAACAATTAAACTATATCTATATCTTCAATGTTAGAATGTGTTAATGACAAATTCGTACAAATTCGTGTTTTTGTTGCGATGCAATAGTTAAGAAACACATTTAACGGCTTCTGCGGCAATGTTACGCTAGTAACGACTGATAAGAATCCAAAACTAGATTCTATTTACTTAAAAAAAATATTTTATTCTTTTCAAAAGTCCTTCAGATTAATCTCGACCGAATCGAGGATATGTGGTTTCGGGTCTTTCTTTCGAACGTTCGATCTTCTTGTTAAGATGTAACGGATTCTGTCTATCCTTTAGTAAGTCAGGTATTTAATTAAATTCCTATTATCTGGTTGTCATGTGTGTATATATGCCAAGTTCAGTTGAGTTAACTTCCTTAGTTATCTGTCTATATTTCTGAGATGAGGTATTATGTACATTATTTACATTATTCGGACTATTGTCCTCATCTTTGTCGCCATATTTATTACAACGTTTCGGCCGTTTTACGCCTTCTTCAGGTGGTTCGAATGTCGAACTGAACCCTTTATTTCGCTCAATGGGGTAGACTGTTCTAGTTCCACGTGCCATGTTTGATGGATGTCAGTTATCAGTTATCTCCTGTTAATTTTCCCTCTGAAAGGTCTCCACTGCCTTAACCGGGTATTGAACTCACACTCTTTGGGTCTTGTCACTGGATCTAACCAACGCCTTTATCCACTGTGCCATGTGTCCTTGAGGACATCTGGGTATGAATGTTCCTTGGTTATATTGGTGCATACACCATCGCGGCCCGATTCTGCAGTTCTTCAACTCTTGGGGCTCTTTTGGCCTACTGAGTACAATACTTACTTTGGCATCTCTTAGGGGACACCACTGATCAACTCTTTTTATATCTAGGTCCCAGATGGGCATTAAATTCGTTTCAGACTTTTGGTTTTTCCTGACGTAAATCCCACACTGCAGAACGATTGATACTTTCTGTCGTGACCCATGCAGTTACACTAAAATTTCAAATAGACAGCGGGCCCGGAATGAAAGGGGTAGCCGGAATTAAAAAAAAAAAATGTTTAAAATAATTAAAAAAAAATTTTTCAGCAACGAAATGCTTTGCCCTAGAATGTTCACAATCTAAATTAATGAAACTGGTGGTTAGAATCAAGATGTTCCGAGTGGATTTTCTCCAAGAAGAGAATAATCGTCTTGGCCTGTCAATTTGAAACTCAAAAGTATTCTTGCGCTAGAATATGATATGGTGGAGTTAGCTATGGTGTCACGATTAGCAAGCTAATCCAGCAGAGAATTAGTTGTGTGAAGGGATTTCGATCCTCACTAAGTGCCATACATATATTTTTTTAATCATTCCACCCCAAGCAAGGCAATACAGACACTATTACACAAGGGGTTATTGAGTGTTAGAGAATATGAGAAAAAATCTACTATTAAGGAGAGAGGACAATAAAAAACAGTAAGAAAATAGAATATAACGATTGACATTGCATTTAAATATTTGAAGATCAACCTTGATCGGGAATCCGGAAGCCGGAAGAGAGTTTCACAAGCGAGAAGAGTGCGATAGAAGAAACTGTTAGCATAGAACTTACGGTTACATCTAGCCATTTCAATTGTAAAATGATAAGACTTCGCCACCAGTCTATGTACCTTAGACAAAAGTAATACTTATTTTGATAATTCAAATATGTGGCACAAATGATAAAAGAAGAGAGAGGAAGTTTGGAGAGCCATGAACTCTCACTAGCTAAAGAGAAATGGTATTATAAAAGTCATTTTTCTGTATGTTAGAAACGAAGACATTTTACGGAAAATATGGATTACAAAGAAAATTCTACGAGCAATCAGAAAGTGCGTGGTTAGAAAGCTTGCTTTCTGGTCATGGAACCCGGGTTCGAAACTCACCATGGTAGAAGGAATGATTTCCTGAAAGTTCCTCAAAATCATAACACGGTTTCACCAAGCCTGCTTTCCAACATTGCAAGAAAGAAATTTATTTTCTAATGCTTTTTGAGATTTACATACACTATTTATATTCGGACGATTGTCCTCATCTTTGTTGTTTATATCTGTTATGGTAAATTACTCACGTACGCATGGACTCTACCAGCTATAAATAAGAGTAGGTACTGCCTTTTTCGAGAGGGAAAATTGCAGCAGTCAGCTCTGACACTCAGACCGAACATTCTTGCTGTAACATTCTCGTTTGTATATATTTGTATTACTGCTACTGTTAATATATTTGCTTAACTCAATTCCTCTTTTTTTTGTGTCTTTATTTCTGACCCTAACGAGGACACAACAATATCCCAACGTTTCGGCCCTTGTGCCCTACGGACTTCTTCAGCTGTATATCGATCTAGGTAATCTACAAGGAATTCTGAAGCCTTAATTTATCTACGGGCTTAGACTGTTCTCATTCCTCTGCTCATCTTTAGACTCTCTAATTTGTATGTTATTTAGCAGTGTTCAGATGATTCAGCAATAAATATGACAATAAGAATGGAAACGAGCTATCGTTATTTCGACTGGTATGTTCAGGATATATACTCAAGTTCAACGTGCTTTACTAGATATTTTAAACCCTTGAAATAATTGACTTTGCTCACTCGTCCGTTTTCACAGTGCACAAGTACCCACAACCACTTTGTCATCAAATTTACAAACCACCGCTTCTACTTATTATTCCCTGGTCCCGTAGGGCAATTTGCTGACCTTTAAACCTAGCCTTGCTGCTGATTAGGCTGGAGAATGGAGAATTACAGTACTACTAAAATTTTACTTACATGCAGATACTGCAATAAAGAACATAACAAGAGCTATTTAGCTTATGGTGTTCAACTTTGACATAGTATATATCAAATGAAAAGTAATCTCCAGTTGAAACACTCTGATGGGTCAATCGTCAAAATTTTAGGATGCTTTGAATGCATGTTTGAGAGAAGTAAACAGATTCAAGAAAATACCCATCATAGCCTGGATCATTGACGTGTTAAGTGTGGATACATCGAAGCTGGTAAATTCCATGAACTCTGTGTTGAACCGGATATTGGATTATTAAAAGGATACGAGGCGAGTATTCAACTTAAGGAAAGCAGTCAAGCCATGTATTTTCAAGCCCGAAAAGTTCCTTTTCGCATACTAACTTTGGTGGTTGCTAAGTTTAAGAAAATGGAACAAGGAATATTAGAAAAAGTCAACCAGGGTAGTAGCTTTTGGGTTTCTTCCACTATGGCAATACGCAATCCCAACGGAGATTTAAGAATTTGTGGCGATTATAATTTGGGCGCGTATCCTCAGATCTGTTCGGATTCATGCCCGTTACCAAGCGTTGAAACAGCGTGCCATAAGTTTGCTGGTATGAAATACTTTGCTAAAGTTGACCTTATGTCAGCATATAGTCAGATAAAAAAATGATAGCAAGTTTCAAGAAGTTACCACATGAACAAATCTATTAAGTTAAGTTGGACAAGCCTGCCGTTTGGAGTGAAAACGTCAAATTCCATTTTTTAAAAAACCATCAAAAACGTTTTAAAGGGGATTAAAAATATAATTTTATATCAAGATGACATTGGCATTAGTACACGGGGTAAAGAAGAGCTCAAAAGTAAAACAGAGCAAATCCTGAGAACATTAAATACTGCGGGTATGACAATTAGTCGTGATAAATGCAAGTTTAATCGTGAAAATCTTTCGTACCTAGGATATCAAATATCCAAAGACGGTATGTCATCGGATGAAAAACTCCTTAATAAGATATTAGAGATAGCTGCACTCAGAAATAAAAAAAATGAGTATTCTTCTTCCTTTTTTTTTTAAGCATTACGCCCCAAGCAAGGCGTGAAGCCACTAGGATGCAGGGGGTTGCGGAAGATTTGGAGCGAGAGCAGATAGGAGTGATAGAAGAAAGGATGAGGAGAAGGATAGTGGATAGATCAAGGTAACTGGAGGTGTCGATTGACATTACATTTGAATAGTTCGAGATTATAGCTTTCAGGGAAACAGTAATTGGGGAGGGTGTTCCACTGGTGAGAGGTGTGAGGTATGAAGCTACTGGAGTAGAAAGGACGGCTACATTTGAAAGTTTCTACGGTGTAAGGGTAGGGCGCTTGAATTCATGGCGTCTGGGAACCAGAGAAAGCAGCTCGTCAGAACAGTTACCATGGAAGTATTTGTAGAAAAGACAGAGAGAGGCGACGGCGCGTCTGTGAGAGAGTGACTGCAGACGAGACGCTAGATCAGGGCCAATTAGATTACATATCCGTCTCTGGATCTTGTCAAGAACTCCGAGGTAAGCAGAAGGTGCGCCATCCCATATATGGCAGCAATACTCCATGCAAGGGCGAATGGTTGTTTTGTATATTTGAAGTATCGATTCAGGGGAGAAAAATTTCCTGGTGCGGCACAGAGAGCCAACTTTCCTCGCGGTGGAAGAAGCAATTGACTCAATGTATTTGTTCCATCTCAGGTCAGCAGTCAGCGTGAGACCGAGCAGGCGCAGGAAGTTGCTCTCAGGAAGTTGACTATCAGACATTTTAATGGGGGGCAGGGAAGGATCTCTATGGTGGTTAATGGAGAGTAGTTTAGTTTTTGCGGCGTTAAAGTTGACCAGCCAATTCTTGCCCCAGTTAACAACCGATTGGAGGTCCATTTCAAGACGCACGGCCAGGTTAGTTTTGTCGCCGACACTAGATTTGTTTTTGAGGCAGGAGTAAATTGTAGTGTCGTCTGCGTAGATGCCAACTTGGGAATCTATAGCGTCAGGAAGGTCATTGATGAAAATAAGGAAAAGAGTGGGGCCAAGGATGGAGCCTTGGGGAACACCTGCGTTCGTGGGATAGGCTTATTTCGTTTAACGAAATAAGGAAGAATACCAAGTTTCAATGGAAAAAAAGACAGGAGATCTCTTTTGAGATTTAAAAAAAGCACTTATAAAAAACCCAGTTGTTAAAACCTTCGACCCAGCGAAAGAATTAACGTTAATTACTGATTCCAGTGAATATGCTATAGCTGCAACGTTGTCAGAAGCGGATCATCCCGTAACGTACTTATCTAGAACACTAACATCGGCAGAGGTAAATTATTCGAATATTGAGAGGGACGCATTGTCTATTGTATGAGCACAGAGAGAGCTAGATATTTTTCGCTGTAATGAAATTTCTATTAAAATCTGATCATAAGTCTTTGGAATTTATATTCAATCCTAGAAGAGAGTTGCCAAAGGTCACATCTGACAGGATATTACAATGAGCTATTTAGCTTATGGTGCCCAACTTTGACATAGTATATATCAAACGAAATACTATGCATCATCTTTGTTAAATCTTGAGAGTAAAAATATTAAAGCAAGTGAAATTGTGAGAGGATTTTGCCCTGGATAAATCGCCTAAGGTTTGGGGACTAGGCAAGATCCAGTGTTGAATAGAATTATGGATAGAATTAAAAGGAATACACGGAATAATTGCTCTATGGCTAAGAGGCCTTATAAAGAGTCAAGGCATAAATTGACAATAGAAAAAGGAATTATATGTAATGAAGATATCATAGTAACTCCACAGACACTGAGATAAATAATTAAAGCCGTGCACGATGATATACATGGAGGTATATTGGCTACACAAATGAGGATAAATTTGCAGGCATGGTGGCCAGGCTATTCGAAAGACGTGGAAGAGTATAATAATATTACCCAGTGTGCAGAAATAAAGAAATTTAGGCAAACTAAATTTCACTCTAGGCCAAAGGAAATGGAACCGTAAACACTAGTACATATGGATCATGCCTACATTAAAGGTATTGGACTATTTCTGATATTAGTCGACTCGTATTCAGGTTGGCCTGAAGTTATTAAAGTCACGGATTGAAAAACCACTACTGTGAAGCAGGTTGATGATAGTGTTTTCGAGAAATGGAGTTCCAAAAACCTGAATTTTGTGAAGAAAGTTTATGTGCCTGGTTAAAATGTATTGACTATATTCGATACTAAACACCACCTTACCACCCAGAATCAAATGGAATTGCGGAGAAAACGGTAAAAATGGGATTAAAAGCATTCTACCCAATGGATTACGATATGGAGAGTTATTTACCCAGATTACACCTAAGTTACAGAGCTCTTCTGCATGCAGGCAGAAAACAAGCGCATCTGCACTGATGGGAAGACAAATAAGAGTTCCGATTACTATGTCATTTGCAACGAATGAAAGTGTGTGGTACAGAAAGGACAGGGATTCAAGTCTTGAAAAAGGCTAATTTTTTGGAGGAAAAGAGATTTAACTCAACTGTGTTAACAAAGACTTGACAGGGCATACCGGCCCACGAAGACCAATTTAGAATCACAAGCGAACATGAAGTTATGGAAAAGGAGGAAGAAAATGAAGCAAAACAGACGACACAAGAAAGTATGAATGAATCCAGTATTGAGGGTGATCAGGAAGACCACTAAGAGATATGAAAATGAAGAACAGGAGAGGGAGGAGAGAATGAGTGTATCTAGTAGTAGTAGAACAATCTGGGGATGAGGATGACTGGAGATATGTTGATTCAAATGAGGAGAATCAGTTAAGACCTAGACCTCTTATAGAAAGAAATACAGAGGCTCACTTTGAGAGACGATTATGTATCTCAGGGTTGTTCATGGAAGTCAAGTAAAAGTATAAATCCCCTTAGGTTCACGGAGGTGCGATATGTAAAGTAGGTTCTGTATAAAAAGCAGTAAACCCTACGAGAGAGTTATCTTCTCTTGACAAGACTACATCTGTCAGAGAGAATACCTATCATAACGGTAACAATTAATGACTAATTAAGAATAGGGTTTGGCATGACGGCCATTAATGTCTCTTTACAACTCCAATTGTTCAGCCTCATTTTGAAATGCACCTAAAGGATTTGTTACATTAACTGGCCATTGGTGAAAAGTTAAATTACCACAATTGCCAAGATGAACATCCAGGTAACTTTGTCACAAATTAGTGAAGGGAATCTTTTTTAAAACATTTCACCACAACCAAAGCAATTAAGATGCAAGATGTTACAAAGTGTGAGAGAATGAGAAAAAAATTAGAACGACAAGAAAGCATTAAGTTATGGAAAAGGAATAGGAAGCAGAACAGACGAGACAAGAAAGGATGAATGAATCCAGTATTGAATGTGATCAGGAAGACCACTAAGAGATATGAAAGTGAAGGAGAGGGAGGAGAGAATGAGTGTATCCAGTAGTCGTGAAGAACTATCTGGGAATGAGTGACCGAAGGTATCATGATGATTCAAATGAGACCTAGATCTCCTATAAAAAAGAAATAAATAGACCCACTCTGAGAGACGGATTATGCCTTCCAGAGTTGTTCGTAGAAAGCAATGATCAACTAAAGGTATAAAGCCTTTTATGTTCTTTATGTTCTGACATATAATTTGGGTATAGCATAAAAGGCAGTATCGCAATACCTACGGGAGTTACATTCTCTTGACGCGACAACATTTGTCGGAGAGAATAAAATAAGATTTTAAATCTGCCGTCGTCTCGCCAAATAGCACCTAAAACCAAAACATTAACCTAAGAACCCGTGCCCTGCTCTTAAATAACCTCATCAGATCCACACTTTCATATGGATGCCGTGCGTGGCGTCAAACCCGCTCAGAAATGTCTGAACTGTCAACTGTATAAAATCGCTTTTTCAGGTCAATGATTATAATTAGCTTCAAACGATTAATTGCTATAAATCTTAACGAAGACGATCCTTTATCAAACATTACAATTGGATTGCTGCTACAAAATCATGAAGAGCATTAGCAATTAACAAAAACCACATCAGTTGAACACTTACAACGGCAGCAGCAACAAAAACGGGTAACATATTTAACTTAAATAGAGAGTAAGGATATAATAAAGCTCTTAATTATTCACACTAAGAAAAATAAAACTCCCATCCATTTTAGAAAGAGCTATAACACTAAGTGAACTCGAGAAATTTATATACCTAAAAACAAACAAACAAAAAACACTGCTTTAAGAAAAATATTTTATTAATTTCAACCGACAAAAAACGATGTCTATTCGGATGATGATTTCAGAATATGTCCAGTGTGGAAATGACTAATGCCGAAATCAAAATATTTTATCATCCTGGGTATGACGATAAACTACATCCGGCAGCAAGGTCTCTGATCGGGAAGTTTTAAGGAGCGTGAAACCACCTATTAATTCCTATTGTTCGCAGGTCCATCCTGATTCAGAGTGGTAGTACCTGTTAGGATCCAAGCTATAGGCATATAGTGAAAACCCCAAATTGAGGTCAAGACATTAAGATATAAAAATATATTAGAAAGAATTACCAGTAAATAGTTGAAAAAAAAAAATGAAAAAATAACCAACAATACATTTTTGGAAAAAAATTACCAAAGTTCACAAGAAAATAAAGTTTAGGCACTAAATGACCCCATAAAGAGAGACGTAACTGTGAGATGTCAACAGCACAAGTAAGACACGTACTATTTTGCGTTTTTCTTAGTGTAGCTTAGATTTGGCATAGTGACATAGGTATGGGACATCCAATGAGAAACGAACTCATTATCCAGTCGTAATTATTCTATTGAGTCAAGCTTGTTAACCATTACACAACGCCGAGGTGCCCATTAAATATTCTATTTAATAAATACAGATACTGTCTATATCTCTGAGATAAGGTATTATGGTTATTTACATTATGTACATTATTCGGAATGTCATCATTAATTTCATTCCCATATTCACAAAGTTTCAGCCGTTGTACGCTTCGGTCTTCTTCAGGTGATTCGAATTTCGAACTGAACCCTTTTTTTTTGTCCACCAAGGTAGATTGTTCTAATTCCACGTGGCACGCCTCTTCCGGATGTCTCAGTTATTTCCCTTTAACTCAAATCTCCAAGTTGTTGTTTATCCATTAGGCTATGTGTCGTTAATCTACCCCGATGTACGAAATAAAGGTATCGGATCGAAATTCAAATCACCTGAAGAAGGCCGGAAAATTTGTGAATATGGCAATGGAGATGACTATAACATTTCGAATAATGCAAATAATGTAAATACATATAATGTTTAATAAATAAACGAAGCATCTACGCAAATGTAGGTATCCACTAATAATGGCGTTTAAGTAATAAAATATGTCGGATTAATAAATAAACAAATTCATCACTTCTTTAAAAATATATAGTTTGTAGATGATCTGTTGTAGGTGTTATATGTTTTAGTATAAACCTATTTCTTTAAGGTAGGACATTATGTTGACAGTTTCGGTATTTTCAACGTTTTTTTTAACGAATACTAGCAGTAGAGCCCGGCGTTGCCCGGGGATGTAACAGTAAGAGATAGATCAAGTATCGACCATCATAAAGACTGAAAAATAAAATTGACAAAGATTATTGTTTAAGGTTGACGGACACGCATCTCTTAATTAGATTTTTAAAATTTTTTTTTTGTTTTTTTTTTACGAATTGGTCAAACCCAAACTCAAACAAAAACATTGTTTTCAATCGTTTATGAGTCTACTGATTGAATAGAATTTTATTATAAACAATTGTCTTGTAAATGGAATTTTTAAAGCATTCTGAATGTAAAAATAAAGAAAAAAGTGTGCAAGACAATAAGAAACACTAACTGCCAAAAAAAAGTGAAGTTTTGTTGAAATCGGTTGAAAAATGTAGGAAATCCGATCCCATATATAAACGAACACACACACACACACACACACAAACAACCTGGGTTTTATAATAAGTATAACTCGATACGAGTTGTCCCCCTTTCATTCTCGAGCTGACTCTTAATCGTGTTTTCAAAGTGATTTCGTGCAAAAACAATTGTGTTTTTCCAATTTTTGGCGCTGTCAGAACCACCGCAAGGTAATTTTACGTAGTCCTGTGAAGTTCTGTTGAAATCGGTTGAAAAATGTAGGAAATCCGATCCAATATATAAACGTACACACACACACACACACACACACACAACCTGAATTTTATAATAAGTATGATTTATTATGAAAAAAGAAATATAACAATTCAACAATAACATTTTTAAATGATTATTCCGGAGCGTATGATTACTGACATGCCTTTTTATAACCTGAAAATAAAATAATAATTTAAGCAGCAATTTTTATTAACAAATAACTCGCCTAGAAAAACGCCTGATAATTATGCACCAACCCAATAGTTTCCTCGCGTTGGTTTCCTTGTAGAATTTATGCCTTATTGGCGCTAAATTAGTACATTTAGTTAAAATGTGTTTCACCGTGAATGCTGCTTAGCCTGTTTTATATGTTATCAGGCATTACGGGTCGCCACCCACGACAAACAGGTGGCCTCATTGTAGGGGTCTAATCCCTCTGCAGATGTGCAGCCGGCGTATTCTACAGCACAAGCCGACAGGGTAGGTGCTGTAGAATACGCCGGCTTAATGTCAATGTAGATATTAAAGTGTTCCATCTCTTCGTGTTCCATCTGTCTTAATGTCAATGTAGATATTAAAGTGTTCCATCTCTTACTGAAACGCGTCATAATGAACCTTTCAGTAAGAGATGAAACACATAATCGAATTGATGTGTGGGTTACCCAATTGGATTTGCTACAACGCCTGTTAGGGGGCTCTCTTTAAGTCTATAAAAAGGCAAACATATTCTCTCTCTCTCTCTCTCTCTCTTAAACTCTTGCATTCAGGTGTAGTCGAACATAAGTAAAGAAGACTGTCGACGAGGCACGCTCTCTTCATTGGTCCTCTGTTGGATTTTGAATTCTCTCACACGCGCACATATACACACGTGTCTATCACGTACACTTGTTTTACAAACGCACAAGTACATGCTTATAGCTAGCTTCAATATGTTTTCCTTTCATTACAGCTGCATACACATCCAATTATTTTTGTTAATGCGGACATATAATTGATTGCTTTAAATTCCATGTTTTGCCCCTCGATTTTACCCAGACTTACACGAGTCCGCCAATATTGTTTGCGGGATAAGTGTTCCAGGAGATCATAAATATCAACTATACAACACACACACACACACACACACACACACACACACACATATAAAAAGTACAAAGTTTTTACCCGAACGTCATAGTAAACCACAACATATGTCATAATTTTCATCATTGAAACCTTAAGATCGCTTCCATCACCATCCAGCTGCAGTATGTCCATCGGTCTCTTGCCTTGACATAGTCAACATTAACGTCTTTTTCTAATTAACGTGAGATTTTCCAATATTATTTCCCTTCGCAGCCCCAACAAATGCAGAAACAAATAATGGTCGATTTTTCTGTACATCAAAAAAAAAGTTGATTTCAGATTGATCGAATCGAAAATCAATTCGTTTAACAATTTGTGATTTTTTTTTTTTTTTTAGTTATTTTGACCCTGACCCCTCTGCACTTTAAGTGCAATCGAGAATCTAAAGCCCGCGACAACCCCTTAAAACTAGATTTTGGTTAATTTCTACCTCGGACTTAAAAACCATATGTCCGAAAGCGTTTAAGTTGACGCAAGATCGCAATTATAGGAAACTCACTGAGAGATTAGGGCTACTGTCGAACAAACTAATCAATAGTAATAATCGACGATATCACCTTAACGATAGCTACAACGTAGTGATATGTGGTATTTGATTGAGTCATAAATAACTTACGATTGTGTTTATCAATTTTAAGCATCAAAAAATAAAGTACAATTACATTTTATTCAGTGATATATATTTTAATTTTTGTTTCTGCTGTCATTTTCTGAAACATTTTGCATACAGCTTTGAAATAAATCTAGATCGATTGTGGACCAGTGGCATGAAATGTCTTGGTTTGCTTGTCTTCTTTTCGGTCATTTAATAACGAAATTTATTTTTTTTTGAAGCATTAGTAATTTCTTTTAAAAAAATTATTGCTGGTAATTTTTTTTTTCAAAAATGTATTACTGGTAATATTTTTTCCCTTATAGAAATGTATTACTGGTAATGTTTTTTTTTTATTTTTTACAAAAATGTATTACTACTATTTTTACTATAAAAATATATTTTTATACTTTCATAATGTTTTGGTCCCATTTTTGAGGTTAACTATTTACCCATAGCTGGGACCCTAACATGCTACCACCACGGGTGACGGTGGACCTGGGAACAACCACGCTTCTCAAAACCTCCCGATCAGAGGCCTTGCTTCCGGAGGATTATCGTCATACCCAGGACAGGGCATGAAACGTGAACTGTGTGGACAATGTAAGAATATTGATAGC